AGCCTCCATTTCGTCCCCCATGAACCGGAGGAAGGCCATGTAAACTGGGGCCATCCCGAGTTGGAATGCCTCAAAATGGAGACAAAAATACTGTCCGAAACAATGGAAAACCTGATAACAAGGAAATAGGGATTTAATTCACAAAATGTAAGAAGTCTGAAAACAAATTATTGAATTACCCGTTTCGCGAAGTACGTGACAAGTAAAAGTTGGAGATAGTGGAGAATAGGAGCTATAAGATATCAAATATATTAGAAATTGTGAACAGGTTTGAAGTATGCTTCACATGTTTAAATGGAAGACCAATATCAGAATCAGACCATAAAGTGCAAGCCACCTTCCCCTCTGATGTTGGTTTTGATCAAAGTATGCAGAAGCAAAGTAAAACTGGCGTCTTTTATATCACACACCCTACTTTTTTATTTCAGCTAAATAAAAGTGGAAAATTCAATTTATATTGTTCTTTCCGCTAAAAGCGTCCTCAAAATTGAGTCCGTGTACTAAATTTGGTAAAGGAGTGACGGCAAGAAAAAGAAATAAACAGAAAAATACTTACGGTCAGCATCCACGTAGCATTCTCCACATCCCTAGGGTTCGATTTAACATAACGATGATTGAATGTGCACCCGGAATGCATATCCACTTTATGATCATCTCTCAAATGAGTGACGAGATACGGAATGTCACCAACAACCGAGCACTCAGATCCAGCATAAGGGCAACTGTAGGGCCTAAAATTGCAAAGGGCCTCGTGCTTCAACTTACTGTAATAAGGAAAGATCTCAGGGCATCCAAGGGAGCAGTATTTGCAGGGGAGCTCGAGCGACTCAGCCACTTTTTCTAACGCCAAACATCTTATGTCACCTAGTTCTTGTCTGCAAGTCGGGCACCGGTTGTGGACCCTAATTTTACAGGTGGAACATAGGGTATGCCCGTTGTGACACTGCAGTATTTGAGTAGATGTTAGGGGAAAGGTTTTGTACTTACATTTGGTATCAATCGTGATATAAAATCATGCACAAACAATATGAAAAGTTCAGCACAGGACAATTGATCAAGTCAATTAAGCACACCCCCCAACTTCCCCAAAGTTTTGTGAAGCATTCTTGATTCTCCTCAAGTATATTAATTATTTCTACTAAATTAAGTCGGAACCAATACGGAGAAAGATTGATCTGTATGATATAAGTGAAAACTAGAAAATTCCATTGTTTTGAGGCATTCAACCATCACAAGGAAAATAAACAATATATATTAACTTCTTGGTCTAGCCTAAGTAAGTGCATACAGCTGCTAATGAAAGTTCATGTTAGACAGATTCACATTCTTATGAAAGGACAAAAACCAGAAAAGATCCCATTTTGTATACTTCTGAAGACCTAAATCGCTGGTCGATTCAATGTTGAAGCATTAATACGCATCACAAAACAACCTTGCAATAAAGAGGACACACACCACAATCACAATGGAATCTTGAAGCCATCAATGTCCAAAGAAAAAAAAAAACAGAATCAAACTGGGCATTCAAGAAGCTCATGAACAAGAAAAAAAGACAATCTTCATTAAAAACTGGGCAACAACCAACGAAATCAAAAAGCCCAGAAGCTAAATTTTCATTAAAAAAAGGAAAAAAAAAAAAAATGAACAAGAAAAAGACAATCTTCGAACCTGATGTATGGGAGGGTACATAGAATTAGTACAAACTGGGCATTCAAGAAGCTCATGAACACTCGTGGCTGGATTACTGTTGTTGTTGTGGGATGGCTTTGGGGATGAAAAGAGAGAAAATGGGTGGACGCTACAGATCTCATCTTCGTCCACCCCATCAACGGTTGATATGCACTCGATGCTTGATTCCATTCCTGAAACGAAAAGAGAAAAAAAAAAAAATATAATCTTTCCTCTTTCTCCTCCTCCTCCTCCTTTTAACCAAGCTGCAAGCTTCTAATCACTTTCTGGAGGCTGCGAGCAAAGCTGTATATGGAAACCTTGCCTAATGCGTTGAAGGATTTCAAATTATTTTCAGATGATTTTCGAGGTTTTTTTTTTTACTGAGAATGGAAGCTGAAAGAGAAAATAAAGCAGGAAGTGGGTAAAGTGGGGCTGCCGATTGAAGGTGCTTTTCTTTTTTTTATACCGAAGTTCGAGGCTTGCGCTTGACTAGTTCTCGATGAAACAACTCTGGCCCGTAAAAAATTGCCTCCAGTTAAATTGTGGTATCCACAACTACCTCAATCACCGCGCTCAAGGAGTCTGATCCTCAAGTGATTGCTCGCTGACCTTCCGAATTCTAAATTGGCCCCATCTATCTAGCTGCAGGGTCCCACCGAAGTGATTGCTTCGTGCTGGCCCCCCAATTTTATGCTGGCCTTACTTATCCAGCCGCTGGTTCTCACATTGAGTTTCAGCATCTCACACTTCCGCTTTTAGCACTCAATATTAACTGTTCCACCATTTGTGCTCGTGGGGACTTGATTCTTTACTGTGTTGAGAGGGAGAGAATGTGTAAAGGTAGTTGGATTAGATATTCGGGGGAACCTTTCTTTTTCTATGTCCACACTGGTGTGTTTATTTTCTCTTTATATTATTTCAAACATCCAAAAATTATATGTATGAAAACTGAAAAATATAATGCAGTTGTTTTTCATTTAATTCTACACTGCCCTTGCAATAAATGCTTCAATTATGGAGTACTATATTGTCACTCTTTTATGAAACCAAATTAATTATTGAATTTAATTTAATGACAGCATATATAACTATGTAAGTGGGTTATTGATTAATTCGATTAGCGAATATGTGCTAATAAAAGAGGGAAACATTTAATATATAAAATTGTTACTATTTTAGACATCTGTTTCCATCTATATTGAATTTCTTGAAATTATTTACTAACAACAAAATTATATACTCTAGTGATTAAACATATAATTCATCTCAAATAGAATGATAGAAAAATGCTAATTGCCAATTAAGACATTCCAGAATAGGACGTCGAATTCACATTTTATGTGAGGCAAAAATTAAATTTTGGTCCTCTAAGTTGGTCATTGTCCATTTCTGGTACACCAACGTTCCACTCATCAATAATAGTAAGTTATATTGCAATTTGTATTATTTTTTAGACATTACTCATAAAAAATGGTACGTTATTTCACTTTTAGGAAATTAATCCCAAAAAAATAATGGACCATTTTTTGAGATAATGTCCCAATAGTGATATAAACTGCAACATAACGTACTATTTTATATGAGGGGAAAGTTGGTGTACAAAAAATGGACAATGTCAACTTAGAGGACAAAAATTGAATTTTTGCCTTTTATGTGAATTGGGTCCGTTCTGGGTACACATGTCGGATCACTGAACTGGTGGTTCTTTCTTCTGAATAAGCTCGTCGGTCTACAGCCGATTAATATATTCTTTTTCCTTAAAAAAAAGGGGTGAGAATGGGGTAAAAAATAGGACTTGGGCTCAGTAGATACATTATAAGTTAAAATATTAATTAAATTTTTTTCTGGTTTAATTTTTTTAACTTATAGTATGTTAACAAAGTTGTCTATGTATCACTTACATTGGGTATCAAAGTTCTCATAGTTCGCTTACTTTACTTACCTCGATGAAAGTGGATGACAATATGTGTTGTCGATCTAGTAATCGAAGGCCTCGTAGTCGTCTTCAATTCCAGCGGTTCCACTAGTACTAATAAAATCATATGGCTCTTCTTCGTCATCCTTTTTGGTCATTAGTATGGTCGTTTGTTCCTTCGTTCAGACTTCTATTAATCACTCAACAACATTGGAGCCTCCAAGTTTTGTGGTATCAACCTTAATCGTCGTACGACCAATGTATATCCTCCCTCACTAAATGCTTGTTCAACCGCCATGGAACATGATAAGTGGCACTCATTTCTTACCACCAATCCAAGCCATCTCCTGTGACTGGTGGAACTGGTGGTCTGGAAACCGTAAGCCTGAGATTCGAGGACATGTAGTGATCGAGTTCATCATATACAATCCCTATATTTATTTGAATCTTCACATTCTTGTAGGGATTGTGATGAAGCCCAGACTGTAAAGTTTGAGCCTATTTGCGACGTCTAAGGCTGTAAACGAACCGACCAGCTTGTGAGCGCTCGAGTCAAAACTCGGCTCGAACTGAGCAGCTCGAGCATGTTATCGAGTCGATCTCAGGCATAGATTTTGGAAGGTCGAGCTACTCGAGATTTATATTCAATTTCCAAAATACCACTTATATATAAATATTATAAGATTTATATATGTACTTAATAGTAATATTAAATTGAAATTATAGTCAAACTAGAGCCGAGCTCGACCAATCTATCGAGCATTTTGATTTCAATAGATCTCAAGCAAAGCTCGAGTGAATGTGTCTTCTTTTGTCGAGTCGATCGAGCGTCACAAATCGAGCTCAACGAGTTCGAGCAGGTAAATATAATTACTCTTACACGATAAACCAATGCTCGACTCAAATCGGCTCGTTTGCAGCCCTAACAACGTCATTTGTTGATAATGGGAACAAGTAGAAGACCCGAAAGCATAAGAAGAAAATGACGTCGCATTTTTCCGAGTACAATTATTGTTTCCTTAAATAATTCATATAATAAAACTTTTGGTTGCTCGACGAGAAATCGTGGATTATATTTTTTCGTGACAATAATAACATCAAAGGAAAGTGGGAGTTGATACATAATTTCATAATAAATGTGGAGTTGGCTGAAAACCACTTTCATAGTTCCACTTAGTGACAGATCTAATACACATGTAACTAAAAATGTATCAGGAATGTAAAAATAATATTTGAACCACTTTCAGTTTAAAATGTTCCTAAAAAATCTATAAGTGTTACATTTTTTCCATTTATCTGTAGTAACGATGAGATTACAACATGATGGTCAGGACTCTTGAAAAAGGTTAATAACTGATGTGCACGTTTACATGTTCTTGTTAACATTTTAAAAGTTGAGAATGTCCAGTTTGAATTTTTTGATTTCAACATCCCGAACTTTATAATGTTTTTCCATTTTTTAATTTCTTTGGGACCTCCAAACTTTATAATGTTTTCCCACTTTTTCATTTCTTGGGGACGATGGGGTAAGTACATTATGGTCACCCTGATGGACATGACCGACTCTTTCAAAGCATTATAACTCGACTGAGCAGAAAGATTAATGGCTACACATACACGAAATATGAAAGATTTTTCCACCACTAAAGGGGACTACAAATTTCTCTAAACTCATCTAAAGAAGCAGTATAAGTACTAACAATATAAAAAAATGAAAAAATGTTTTTGACCAATTTTATAAATATTCAAGACCCGTGCAATTAACGAGCGATATTAGCAGCAGTGTAAGCATTATTAAATCATGTGTAAGCAATTAAACATTACTTTCATGTAAAGTCATTGTCTACCCAGTGACAAGAGTTCCCTTATAATTATTTTCTTGCCATTGATCGGACCAAATGTCACAAAAAAATAGTTTTTTTTTTATTTAAATTTTCAAAACTTTGCGCCAAAGTTAATTTTTTTTTCACCCACTATATTTTGAATATCGCGAGTGAGAGTAGTACGTGGAACTTGAGACACAACCATGCTTAAAGTTATTTGATTAAAATTTTCATATAAATTAGAATCACCAAAACCGAAAGAGAGAGCTAAAGCATAAACAAATTCAGCTAGATTAGGTGTATGGTTTTCAATAGAGTGTTGAAATAAAGAAGAAGAGCATGTTCCAGTCACAGATGCAATGCTACTTTTTGGGATTTGCGTTTGGTTTGTGGGAATCACCATTTAGGCAGATGAGTGTCCGTACGTGTCGTTGCATGTTTTCATACCCATTGCCAGTTATGAAAGAGTACCACTTCTTGGGTATAAAATGTTTGTCATATTTTTCGTATCGGGCACCTTCGTGAAATGCCTTGTGAATATGTCGGATGCCAACTGTTGACCCCCGCTGACTGCCATCCCTTGAGGTTGACTTGAGTAGGATCAAAATCGTCACACGGCTCCTCCAGACCTCCTCGTCCTCCTCAAACTATAAGCTCTTATAGATTTCTTCAATAGATTTAAAGACGCGTTGGACCTCCTCGGGCTCCATGTCATCGAGTAGACCCGTAACATCTTAGTATATCATCGGCATTGGCGTCAGTAATGGTAATGAGGCTGACCCCTAGATGCTACATTTTTACACTTTGATGGTCGTCCTCCGAGTCCACCACGAGCACTTGAAAAAAAATAGGGATGAAAATAATAGAAATGAGACTGTATTATCTACGTATTATAAATTGTTAGAGAGAAGATGCAGATAGTGTGGAGCATAATGAATTGCTATATTGCAATACTGGCAGTGATGTTTATATACAGTACATGAAGATAAGCAAGAGATAGTAACTCTGCAACCTAACAATATTATGTAACTAATCACACATGCTTAACCATGCACTAATCATGTACACATTTAACTAACTAACTAACTCAATTAATAACCTAACTATGTAACTACTCCAATGCTCCCCCTTGAAACCAAGCTGGGGCAAGCCAAGACCTTGTGCTGTAAAGGCAACTTCGAGCAGAGGAAAGAAAAGCGGCCAGGACCAATAGGCTTAGTAAGAAGATCCGCAAGTTGAAGTTCAGTGGAGATATATCTAACATCAATTTCTTTGGCAGCAACTTTTTCTCTTACAAAGTAAATATCAATTTCTATATGTTTGGTACGAGCATGCTGAACTGGATTAGAAGCAAGAGCTGTAGCACTCACATTATCACACCATAAGATAGAAGGAGATTCAAAAAACAGACCTAGTTCATGAAACAAGGAATGCATCCAAAGAAGATCAGA